CTACGCGGCCATGCATTCAAAGTCGGGAATGAGCGAACACGTTTAGACCGACCAAAATTTTCTTTCAGCCAGCGGGTTGTCAGGCCGTGGAACTCGCTTCCAAGCGAGATGGTGACGGCTGACACAGTTTGTGTGTTTAAAAGAAAACTTGCTCGTCTAGTTTTCGACAGAAATCGGCTTGTACAGCATGACTATGCACAGCCAGTTTTGTAAAATCTGTCATATACAATCTTCCGCACTAATTTACAGTGACCCCATGCACTACCTTATGATTACGATTGAACTGTGACACAATCACATTTTAAATGCCAGCAATTTTATTTTATTTTTGAGTATGAATCTGCGAAAGCACTGTACATAAATAGGGTCATCAAGGGCTCTGCCTGTAACCCTTCAATATACATACATACAAGAGGTTTTAGTGTGATCTTCATTTTCCACTGAGAGCCCTACTGGAACTGGTGTCATACAAGATACCGGTTTAGGTTGTCTCTTGTTCGTGCATTACATAAATGATATCTCGTTGGCAGTTAACCATTCTCAATCCTTTATTTATGCTCATGAACTCAAATGTGCATATTGATTTAATAAATCCACGACCCTTTATTGCCTGTACCAAATTCCTGCTGACTGGCTTGCTCTTTCACCATGGAGATCAAAGTGTCTAATGGATTTTTCCTTGTCTACATATCGCTATGTGTCTTTTGGACCTGATAGGCTACCCCATCCAGTGGTCTTTCAAGGCACACCTATGACTGAATGTATCACCATCAAAGATTAAGATTTAAGCTACCCCAATAATCTTGATCTCTCGCCACACGCCGACAGAATTACGGCCAAAGCTGCCCAGATTTGTGGCTCCAATTCTTACTGTTATGTATGCAAAACAGAAGGCTAATTGGAAATAGGACGTGTACTGAGTACGATAAACAGCACAAGTGAGGAGGCTTGTGGAAACGGCCGGGTATATGGCAAGGGCGACTGTCATAGGCTGATGGGTGGCCAATCAGCACAAAGACGGTGTGAACAGGGGGCCATGACCTTGATCGTTCGCTTGTCACGCGTTTGTGGCATGATGTCCTGACGGCCCGGGCAGGATACGCTGCATCCCTCCACCCTAAAGTGGAGAGCATGAGGGGGAGGGGAAGGGAACAGTATAGGTAATAGTGGATTGTCAGACAATGTTCTAATAAGATTCGTCCTGAAAGCGTTGGACAGGTTTGCGGTTTCGGGCCGATCTTCTCAGGGCGGTATTTTCTACCTCTGCGCCGCTTTGTGCAGTCACTGGCTGCTCTGCCCTTAAGCTAGTGCTGGCCGGGATAGAAGGAGGTGGAACATAAGCCTCGGTGGATGGCGTAGTGCCCTGTTCAGGAAGTAGGAGCTCAGTCCTCGGGATGTCAAGATCCCTATCAAGGGTTGCTGGCAGTTCTAACTCTCCGAATTCTCCACTTACTGTGTCCGTTCGGCTGCGAACTTGGTCCAGATGTCGACGCACAATTCTCCCACCTTCTAACTCTAATTCCACTGTCAGGGGGCGCTCACTGATCGTTCATACGGAACTCACTCGTTCCGTTGTGCCTTAAGGGCTCTCTCTCTCGAGCCCAACCAGCAGCCGCACAGCGGCGCATGATATATAGGCAGAACGGAACGAGTGAGTTCCGTATGAACGATCGGTGAGCGCCCCCTAACACTGTATATTCCCGATCGAAAACCGACAGGGCAACAAGCTCGTGGCCTGGTAGGTAGAGGCGTGGACTTCTAAACCAACAGGTCGCGAGTTCGAGGCTCGGGTGTTCCACACTTCGGGCTTGGGTATGGCTGGCTGACAACGGCTAATAAGCCAGAAATGGCCATTCCAGTCTCCGTTGTCTTTGTCGGTAATATCATTCTGTCTAATTCCACTATTTGACCCTCGCTTTTTCGAATTACCGCTGGACACCAGTTCGTTTCGTGTTCCAGTCGCGTGTAGACACTTTCGTTGGGCGCGACGACACGTGGTCGGGTGCTCACATCATATCGTTCTTTCATCTTCGTCTGTTTTGCAATGACTCTATCCTGCGTTGATGGATTAAGCAGGTCGATTCGTGTGCGCAACTGCCGCTTGAACATCAATTCTGCAGGCGAAGCACTAGTTGAGTCATTCGGTGTTATGCGATAGCTGAACAGAAAGCGTGACAACTTGGTGGCCAAGTCCGCTTCTGTCTGTCTGGCTAGTCCGTGCTTTATTGTCTGGACTTCACGCTCTGCGAGGCCATTTGAAGCAGCGTAGTACGGGGCAGTAGTTAAATGTCTAATTCCATTTTTCTCCATGAAATCTTTAAATTCTGCACTAGTAAAGGCCGGGACATTGTCTGAAACGACCATTTCAGGTATCCCAAAAGTAGAAATGACGGTTTGCAACTTGTTGATTGTAATCAGTGAGGAACAAGAATTTCCTGTCGGAATCGCATCAATCCATTTAGTGTGGGCGTCAACTACCACCAAAACCATATGGCCTTGGAATGGCCCAAAATAATCGACGTGTACCCTCTTCCACGGCGAGTCGGGTCAGGCCCAAGGCTTCAGAGGAACCTTCGGTAAGGTCTTCTGTGTTATTTGGCACACGTGACATGCTTTCACCACGTTTTCTATATCTGCGTCAATTTTGGGCCACCAAACATAGCTGCGGGCGAGAGTTTTCATTCTAACTGTACCAGGATGAGCATTATGCAGGTCTCTGAGGATGGCCCGTCGGCCTTGTGGTGGCACAACTACACGATTGCCCCATAGTATGCATCCGTCTTGTAGACTTAACTCGTTCCGACGGCTGAAGAATGGTTGAAAATCAGAGGAGGTAGAGGACGGCCAGCCAGATTGTAAGGCTCTTTTTACCCGACTTAGGAGAGGGTCTCTCGATGTCCACTGTCGAATTTGTTGACAGGTTACAGGCGCGTGGACTAGATTCTGCAAAAGATTCACGGTCTCAAAACAGGTGCCCCGTTAATGCCATCGTCCACGATAGGAAGCCTACTCAAGGCGTCAGCCACTACGTTTGCACTACCTGTAACGTATTTCATTGCATACGTGTAAGCAGATAAAGTGAGTGCCCATCGTTGCATTCTTGGCGAGGACATCTGTTGTATCCCTCGTTTTTCTCCCAGCAAACCTAAGAGGGGTTTGTAATCAGTGTGAATTTTCGGCCAAAAAGATACAGGTGGAACCGATGTAGGCCAAACATTATTGCTAAGGCCTCTTTGTCTAGTTGCGAATAGTTGGTTTCCGCCTGTGACATGGTTCTTGATGCAAAAGCAATCGGCATCTCCGAACCCGAAGGCATTCGATGCATGAGAACCGCACGTACGCCGTACGGAGACGCATCACATTTCAGTATGATAGGCTTTTCGGGGTCATAGTGAACTAGGACAGATGAGGAGGTAAGAGCCGCCTTTGCCTGTTCGAAAGCACTTTGTTCGACCTCCGCCCAGTGCCAGTCACAATTCTTTTCAAGTAGTCGATAAAGAGGCTTGAGAATTGTAGCCGATTGATTCATAAAGCGACTAAAGTGGATGACCAACCCCAGGAATGAACGCAATTGACTAGTATTGTTGGGGCGCGGCGCCGTCTTCAAGGCTTTGAGCTTATATTCGAGTGGATGGAGGCCAGTTTTATCCACCCTGAAGCTCAGGTATTCTACCGAGTCGGCAAGGAAAGTGCACTTATCTTTCCTGAGTTTAAAACCCGCGTCCTCTAAACGTCCTAACATGATGTTTAGAGTCTCTAGATGACTATGTTCAGATGGGCCGGTAAATAATATATCGTCAAGATATGCGCAAACGTGAGGTATATCCTTCACGAGATTATCAATCAAGCGTTGAAATAAACCGGGAGCCGAACTTACTCCAAATGGTAGTCTTTTATATCGAAATAAACCGCGATGCGTATTGATGGTGGTGGCGTCTCGGGATTCAGTAACTAGGACGACTTGGTTGTAGGCATGCTTTAGGTCCAAAGTTGTAAACTGATGACCACCCGAGAGAGATGCGTACAGATCCTCGATGCGCGGGAGAGAATAAGGGTTCAGTTTAGTTGCTGAGTTGATTGTCAGCTTGTAGTCGCCACAGATACGGACAGAACCATTGGTTTTAAGAACAGGAACTATTGGGGCTGCCCATTCCGAATATTGCACGGGCTCAATAATATCCGCTTTCTGTAGGCGGTCCAGCTCTTCTTCGACCTTCGGTGCGAGTGCATAGGGGACTGTACGAGCTTTGAAGAACCGGGGCCGGAAATCTGACTGAAACTGAAACTTACCAGGTGGACCGCGGTAGTGGGTAGCTGAATCATCACGAAATAGATCCTTATGATTTACCAAAATTGAATCTAAAGCCGGATTTACACCAATCCGATGTACATAGGATAGCACAGAAGGCACACATTTAATCCAATTTCGTCCAAGGAGATTCTGTTGCTGGCTTCCTCTCACCACATGAACCGGCAAGTAATGAAGTTCTCCATCATGTTCGACTTCGGCTGTAAAGACCCCCCGAACGTCTACGTTCTGTCCAGTGTAACTATGGAATGTTGAGCTAGCCGGTAGGAGGGAGGGTAATTTCTGAAGAGAGGCCTCCTTGATGAGAGTAACAGCTGAGCCAGTGTCGATTTTAAACTTCACGGGATGGTGATCAACCGGAAGCGTGATGGTGTAGGGGGGTTGGAGAGTATCGTTGACCGGAAACATTCGGAGTATCGCCTCACCATCCCCAGCTGGACTAGGGTAGGCCGCATGCGTGTTACTATTCGCTCGTGTTTTGGAAAAACACACTCGTTCGATGTGGCCGACTTTCTTGCAAAACTGGCATACCGTCTTCTGGTGTCTATAGGCTGACCACCGGATATGATGCTGGCCACAACGGTAGCATGATGGTAGTTGTTTTGAGGGAGCTGAGGGTCGCTGTCTAGGTGAAGACACAGCAGTGTTGACCAGGGAGACAGCCATTTCCGATTCCAAGGATGCTATCACTCTATCGTTTGACTGATTCAGCTGCTGAAGGTTTTGCCGCAATGCGCTCCTGATTACTGGCAATATCACAGGCTTTCTCCCATGACAAATCCTTCTTCTCTGATAAGAGATTTTCCCGAGCTTTTTCATCGCGCAGGCCGAAGATCAACTGCTGAACGAGCATTGCGTGCTCGAAGTTGTCTGCCTTGATCTCTTTATACCCACAGTCCTGAATGGCCAGAGTCAGATTAGTAATAAAATCACTGACGCATTGATTGGATTCTTGACGCATTTGTAAAAACTGATAGCGACTGAGAAAGACGTTGTCCTTTCCTCCCCACGCTGAGTCGAGTTTTGAGAAGGTTGTTTGGAGATCTATAGCCTTTTGTAGATTGAGGGCATCGAAATATCGTTGTCCCAACTCTCCGAGATTCGTCCGGAGGAGTTTCAACTTAGATGGGACGTCTAGTACAATCGTGGGTGACAAAATCGGGAGTAGTTCAATATAATCCTCAAATGTCTTCCTCCATTGCAACCACGATTCATTTGAGGGCTTCGGGGTGTTCTTTGGCCAAAAATATAGCGGTGTAGGCAGCAATGAAGACATGTTCGTTAGGCTGCATCGCCAATGTTATGTAAGCAAAACAGAAGGCTAATTGGAAATAGGACGTGTACTGAGTACGATAGACAGCACAAGTGGGAAGGCTTGTGGAAGCGGCCGGGTATATGGCAAGGGGGACTGTCATAAGCTGATGGGTGGCCAATCAGCACAAAGACGGTGTGAACAGGCTTGTCACGCGTTTGTGGCATGATGTCCTGACGGCCCGGGCAGGATACGCTGCACTTACAACTTCTATCTTCCTGTAATTAAATTAAGACTCTAATGGGTGTTTGTACTCACCATTCTCGAGTCTTGTTGCATATTCTTTGGTTTGATGAACGAGGCTAGTCGTTCAAAAAGTTACAATGTTCAAAGACATTTTACTAGAAGACTATTAGGTAGGAAACATCCAAATATTCCGTACTCAGGTAAACGCCACATAACTAGCCTAAATTTTTTATGGGTGGGAAAACTCGGAGCAGACTTCTGTCTCTACATTAGCATTAATAATAGTTCAAATCCTCCTCGAATTCCAGCAATTACCACCAGTAGTCTCCCATTCAATCCTCACAATTCTTCTTCGATTATACCTTCAATCGCTTATTCTACCTCTAAGCGCTCTCTTTGCTTTGCTTCCAGGTATACTTTCCTCTATAATAACCTTCCGATAAATATAAGATGTTCAGATAATCTACACACTTTAACAGAAGGTTACACCTTTATCTAAATACTGACTCGATTAAACTTTTATTTTCCTCATCCTTCCCCGGGCAACTTTCTCCATGACACTGAGAAAGAGCCACCGGAAATCTAGGACGCCGCCATTAAATTTCGTATCCGCTCCAATTTCCTTCTTTTGTGTGTAGGTTCGCTTCCTAGGCTCCCTCATCAGATATTTTATTTTCTTCGATTTTTCAGTTCCTGCATCGTGCCTCTCACATAATGTGATATCCTTCCTGACAAATCCTCCTAGAGAAGTAGCTTGGCTAGGTTGACATGCACGCTCTTAGCCGCCTTAGTCTCGCTGATTGCCGACACTCATCATAATTCCACCCTGGCTCTCGCGATTTCGAAACCTCACCCCCAATTTTTGAATTTTGCTGTTCTTAAGCTCATCTCATCATTTCGACCCCAAGAACTCTGTCGAAGCTCTTAGCGGAGCCCTTTGTATTCGCCACCTACTAGTAGTTTTGTCGCATCTCCCTTGCCCCCCCCCCCACCCCTAAGCTAGACTCGAGGGGGATTGTGTCTGATCGCGTCTGGGTTCTACTCGTCCCGCAGCTTTGACGTGAATGGTCTTATCCGGCATATGAATTCTTTCTTGATGATGTTCGTTTCGAACCTCCTACTCAATACCGCATGTAGGCCAGTCCTGTCTGACCCGCATAGTTACCTCTTCATGGAATCCGCCATACACTGCCACATGCAGGCCGGTCCTGCCCGCTTTTTATCCTTTCATGGGCGACAGTTTTTTCTTCACCTACAACGTTAATCCTGTCACATTTATTTTGTTTATATGTTAAGAGTTTTTCACTGCTCGCTCATCATTCTTCGAAATAGACTACTTATTAAATATCTATGAATTAAGTATTGTATGGATTCTGTTTACGTGTTCTAAAATTCATGTAAGAATTTTTTCTTTCTTGCTATGACCGGACCCCTACGGGTCTTGAAGAAAAATTGTTTGTCTTACCTTATTTTATTATATTTTGACTACGGAACCACCGGTATTTAGCCGTCCTCGTCGTTTAGCGGCTGGCAAGTTAGCTACCGCCAAGGCTGAATTCAGCCATATGATGGAACTTGGCCAAGTTCGACCCTCCAATAGTCTATTGGCCGTCCTTCTACACATGGTTTGCAAAACGTCTCTCATGGACTGGCGTCAGAGTGGTGATTACTGACGACTAAATAACTGCACTGTCCCTGACATATATCCACTTCCCTACCTCCATGACTTTTCCTATAGCCTAGCCGAAGCAACAATACTTTCAAGCATTGACCCAGTAAAAGCCTCCCACCAAATCTCCACCACTCCAGAAGACCTCCCAAAAACGGCAATTACAGCTTCATTATTCATTTCGAGTTCGTCGGAATGCCTTTTGCACTCCATAACTCCACCCAAACATTTCAACATTTAATTACCGAGGTCTTCCGCGACTTGCCTTTCGTTTTTGTTCCTATCGATGATCCCTTAGTTGCAAGTTACAGGAAGCAGCAACGCCTACAACACCTACGTCTAATTTTTGAGCGGTTGAGCCAATTTGGCGTTTTTATCAAGGCCTCCAAAAGCGTTTTTGACGTTCCCTCGATCTTGTTCCTAGGAGATCGCGTAGATGCTTTTGGTTCGCATCCCATAGACGCTTAATTTTCAGCTATTCGCGAGTTCCCTGCTCCCACTTCTTTCCGACAACTGCGCCGTTTCATTTGTCTTGTCAATTTTTACCGACGTTTCTTCCCTCATGATGCTCAACTAGTGTTACCCCTCAAAAATATTTTATGGGGCAACAACCGCGAATATTCTTTTCCTGACACAGCTATGGACGATTTCCAACGTGTCAAAGAGACCCTTGCGGATGCAACTGCTCTTTCTCACCCTCTAACTGATCTCCGCTGTCCATTGTTGCTGACGCCTCCAATTGAGCCAGATGTGCAGCCCTCCAGCAATAGACTCCAACGGACATACAAACACTATCCTTCTAAACTGCTAAGCCGACACCCCCCAAACTCGTTATGGCACATTTGGCAGAGAACTCCTTGCAATTTATCTCGCCATTAAGAATTTTTGTAACTTTGTTGCAGGCAGAGACTTTTGCATTAACATTGACCACAGACCCCTTATTTATGCTCCCTCTGACAAGTATTCGGCCCGTGAGGCCCGCCATCTTGATTTTTTCGCCCAGTATGCCACAAATATTCTATTCCTCAAAGGACCCTTTAATCAGGTTGCCGACTGTCTATCCCGACCTGGAATTAATGCCATCACCAGCCCCTCCATCGATCTGGAGCGCATGGCCGAGCTGCAGCAACAACCGAATTCTTCTGAACAACTAGCGCATACTAGCCTTCAACCTAAAGCCATCCCTCTTTTCGCCACCTCCAGTACAGTCTTTTGCGATGTGTCTCGCGGTTCCTCTTGCCCAACAGTACCAAGTGAGATGCGGCGAGATTTTTTCACCATGTTACACAATCTCGCCCACCCTGGCATCCGGGCTACTTAGAGCCTCGTCAGTGACCGGTTCATCTGGCCCAGAACGAACACTGCTATCCGCCAGTGTACTCGCCAATATTTGGCCTGTCAGAAAACCGAAATCGGACCTCACAACAAAGCTCCAATTGGGACCTTTTTTGAACCCGATGCACGTTTTGCGCATGTGCACGTAGATCTCGTGGGTCCTTTTCCAACGTCCCGTGGTCGCAACTATTTGCTCACTGCCATTGATCGAATTACGCGATGGACCATCGCAACTCTAATTCCAAACATCGCTACAGATACTTCGCTTGTGCCTTTTTGGAACACTGGATTTCCCATTATGGTGTCCGCACTGCTATTACAACCGACCGAGTCCAGCAATTTGAATCTAGAATTTTAAGGCCCTTACAGACCTCCAAGGGTGCTCTCGCATACGTACGACAGATTACCATCCCTCATGCAACGGTCAAGGTGAGCATTTCAGCCGTCAGCTCAAGACTTCGCTCCGGGCCTATGATAAACCCACTCATTGGAATGAGCATTTCCCTTTGACCATGCTCGACATCCGCACCTCGCTAAAACCCGAACTGAAGTTCTCCACTGCCGAACTTGTTTGTAGAACTACCCTACGGATTCCCGGCGATATTTTCGGGCCATACCAAAGCTTTGCCGATCTGAATGCAACCGATTATGTCCAACGATTGCGCCAATCAATGGTTAACCTCCGGGCCATACCCCCACACGCGCCAGCAAGTTAGTCATATATTGACCCTAACTTGATAACGTGTTCTTTTGTATTTGCCCACGTAGATAGCATACGTGCGCCCCCACAACGACCCTACGACGGACCATTTTGAGTCCTGTCGCAGACGGACAGGCATTTCAAAATCGCCCGTGGCGATCACACCGAAGCGGTATCGATCGATCGGTTGAAGGTGGACCATATCGACCTTCGTTCGCCTACCCCAACAGAACAGACTTCTTCACCTGCCACAAGTCCTTCTTCGATCTTCCCGCCTCCGCTTCCACCTGATAACCCTGTGCATTCTCCTCCCCTCCCGATTCCACCCCCTAGGCGCAGCGGTTGTCGTGTCAGTTTCCCGGATCGTTACCAACTCGTACGTTATGCCTGACACTTCTCTAATTCAGACCCTTTTTTCAAATTCAAACACTGTTTTCCTGGGAGGGGGAGTATTGTAGTGACATAAAGAAGCGTTTTCTTTTAACGCACCAATGAACCTTTACAACTTTCAATATCAAGTTATCGTCACGCAGCATACTTGCGACTACTTTGTTCCTTCTAATTCTACTGCAATAGACTGGCGTATTACTTACAACTTTGCTAAGTGGCGCGAAGCGATACCACTACAAAACCAGGACGCAAAGCCAGTAGCAACGGTCATAATCAACGAGTGGATTATCCGCTATGGGGCACCCACGATAATACACTCTCACCGGAGCACGGCGTTCGAAAATCATCTCTTGGCGGAGCTGTGCTCCATGCTCCAGATAAAGACGAGAACCACGTCCTATCACCCTGAGGCGAACGGACTGGTCGGGAGAACAAATAGAACGATCGAGAAAATAGTGTCCACATTCGTTCACCTTGGCCCCACTGTCTGTTAGCCTATCGGACCGCCGTCCACGACTCGACCGGGTTTTCTCCTTCACTCCTTCAACTTGGCCACGAGCGGCGCTTTCCTTTAGATATGCACTTCCCACTTATTCCCGCCGAGGCCATTAGTATGGGAGAGTGCACCCGAGCTCTCAAAGCAAGACTTGTCGTAGCTTACAGGCTCGCTGCCGATAACATTCAAGCAGCACAACAACACCGGAAAGCTTGCTAAGACCGACACACAGCCGGCCAGATTATCGTGTTAGTGATTCTGTGTTGCCGTTTAGACCCCGACCACCCATCGGAGCGGCGACCAAGTTTCACCGGTCATAGCAAGGCCCGTAGACTATCGTCTACCAACCCTCCGCCAACACGTCTGTGCTTCAAGACCCGTAAAGACCATCCGCCGATGTCTCACCGTCCATTATAAGCAGATTAAGCCGGCTCCCTGTCATACAACAACCCCCGGGTCTTCCCTTTTCCCTGTCTTCCCTGATCCCCTTCCACCCGCAGCACGGACGGTTAAAATCCCTGATTCGACCTCCTTGTAACAAACGATTTAGAAACACTGGGGACAGTGTTTACTCTGAGGGGGAGAAATGCAACGGCGCAGAACGTTTTTTGATGCTCTGGATGCATCCGATTTCTCTCTCTTCAGGGAAACCCTCAGTGAACGCCCTGGCGGACCGCACTGATGCGAAACCGGACGAACCGGATGTTTGGATGGGTCAGGGACTTTTGCGTGGGGCTTGCGAATAAGCTATTAGCAATAAACGCATGTCGGCTAATTTGTCTCCTTATTGTTCTCTCGTTCTGCTCTCCTGCCTGATGTTCGTTTGTTGTCGTTGACCCCGACCGATCGTTAATTTTTTGCTTAAACGTTCGTCCGCCCAGAATTTCGCCCAAAGTTACACCCTTTGCCCCATTTCCTTGCGCCTGGTACTTATTCATTAACTCCATGGTCCTCTCCATGAGACAAATTTTCCACAGCTTTCGCTTGAGGTTTTCTTCTATCTTCAGTCTGGTCACTAGATAGCCGGACCTGTTGGCAATTAGTCCATGTAATAAGGCCCTAGATTCCAACCTGTCCTATAGAATATACCCAGTAAATGCTGTGTTCCGGTCTATACAGCGCATGTCAGTTTGCATTTGGTTGAAATTTCCACGCCATAGGTTGCGTCTGGTCGTGTTGCTTCGATCAGATTTGGCGAAGAATGAATACCCCTCTGTAGGACTACGTGGTCCATTTTACTGATAGTGAGTAGACAGTTTACGATATCGACGCTGTTGTCAGTAGGATGTCCAAGCAGTTCTTTTTGGCTTTCAGGTAGTCCGGTTGGTGATAATACGTGTTGAATGAGGGAAGGTTTTTGCATTGCTTGTAGGAGACGACAACCAGACTTTAATTCTGAGCCTGGGACAGAACTCGGATCCCAGCTGATATTCGAAGCGTTAGGTCGCCCTTGATCATGACATCGGATCGGCTAGCACACGCTTCTAATTCCCCCTATCAGACTGCTTTCTGACTGCAGGTCGTTCCTTGGTGATCGGTAGATCATCAGGATGTCGTGAGCTTGTGACCCCGGCGTTCTAATGATGAGTCAAATTTCTTCGGTTTTGCGTGAGATCTTTCCCGTTTTTTCTGACATTAGCAGACCATGCTTGACATAAGCGGGCATGCCCCGACCTGGACGCTCCGCTCTATCATTTATCAATACTTGGAAACCTGAGTCTGGCTTCACAATTTTCTTCTTCCGTGAACAATCACCTTTCAGTTATGCAGATGACGTATGACAAAGTTTGCACACGCAGAGAGGGCATGTTGAGGGCCCTCTGACAAGCCGAACCCCTCGCAGCTGTGTCATTCAGCGGCAGAATATCGGTGAAACACGCGTGTATGGGCTTTTGGCTAGTGCCTGTGCTGTTAGTATGCAATCACCCTACCCTAACGTAAATATTACTTTCATATACTTTAGATAGCAGACGTTGGCCATCGGTATATATAAAATCTAGTTTTTTTGTCGCAAGCCGGATCGGTGGCCACAACTGAAACAATTGCTTCATTTGTGGCCACGTACGCACAGGATGCGTCCATGTAAACCGCGACGGCCGCTCGATTATCCGGTTGTTGTACATAAACAGGTTTTGTTCTCCGCCTCCCAGTCGCAGTCTGAGCTCCTAAACTAACTGCTGACGTTTTAGACGCTACGTCGATGCCTAAGCAGGCTGGGAAAAAACCCCGATTTAAATATTTTCGTTGAAAGCGTCCTGAGTGAATAAAATCAACCTGCTCTTTGCAACTCAGAGCAATCCCAGAGGGCTCTAGATGCAGTGGAGTGGAGGATTCAGCAGTGCTCTTTCCGAACTTGAAGGTTTTCAATATTATAACTTTTTCTTGGATTTGAAGCATTGGGTTTAGAGGGCCTTGGAACAAGTCGGGGTTACCAAAACGCGTTCCTTAGTTTTCAGTTTCAGTTTATTTGAGGGGAGCATAGGTGTTGTACTTTTGAACTCCCTATTTGTTACAAGGAAGCGAATTATATCAAAAATTTGAAAATAGAGTGTGTGCATTCGTCTCTTGAAGTCCCTATATTACGAAGCACTGCCCTCGGAGCACCCTGTCCTTGTTATGTGGTGGCGCACTTTTCATGACGCTGCTGTGGCTGCCATCAACTTTAGGGATCTTTTCTTCAATTAAAGGCGCAGCGTCTGTGGCCATACTGTCTCTATTTTTTGTATCCATGTAAAGGTTTTTCAAATTCTCCGCGACTGTGTCTGCTCGGTCAATTGCGGTTCATTTCGACTGCTCAGACAAGCTGCGCTTTTCTGCGTCGGCAAGTCCTTTTTCCCGAGCATATCGAAGTCCTGCGAATTCTGTCGTCCCGTCTTAAATCACCAGTCCACTTTGGCTTATTTTCTTCCCTTGGCAAAATCTCAGTTGTCTGAATCTCCTAGTCATCTGCCTGCTTCTCCGCAGTCCCCTTCCCTTAGACGATGATCACCTGTTCTCAACTCTCCTGGGACGATTTAAGATCCTACCTTACTTTCTTTCTTGTGGTTTCTCTCGAGGTTTCAGTGTATGTGCAAGTCTTTCCACTCGGAATTTGGCCGCCTTTTTCTATGGAGGTCGGACAGCTAGGAATCTGTCAGTGGACTGATCACTGTTATTCAGCTGAATGGTTATCAATAATGAGTGCGCGCTATCACTCACTTTTCAATCTAGTTTGCAACTTCCATGTTTCATCTACTACTGCACTTGGGGGGGGCTGTTTGTTCAAGTGGTCGTTTCCCTCCTCTCCTAACACTTTGCATTCCTGAAGCCAGTAGTTTGTAATTCCTTTTCCTTTTTTGGCTGTCGTTGAACATTCTATTAGTGGGTAGTTCTTAGTTAACTCTGTCAGCTCCCATATGATCTGTTGACTGCTATTGACTTCATCAACTTGCCTAAATCTATCATACTTTTGCGACAAGACAATGGGTAGATTTGTATTCGAGCCCAAGAATGCAATGTTTAACCTGAGATCGCTACAAAGCTTACATAGCGCAGACCAACACGCACCATCGATATTTGGAACAGTCCTGTGCGATCAACGCGAACTCGCCGGTCCTACTATGAGCTGTTTCTGGAGTTTTGCATTTGCTAGAACCTGCTTGCCTACAACCAACTGACACTAGTCTACATTGTGCTTCTAGTGTGCACTCTTGCTGGCCAACCCGATGTATCTGCTGGGCAAGGCGTTAATATATCTAATATTTTGCGGAGTTCGCTCGAAGGCAGCGATGGCCGGGGGACTTAGGAGTCCGCCTTGTGAGCTGATAGTGGGGGGAGCAACGCTCACTCCGTGTGCATCCTCTTTGCCACATGTGATGCTTGGGCCGTAAACTTCTACATTCCCCATGTCTCTATACGTCAGTGACCTCAGCACCCAAGAATCTCCACAAGGTTGTCAATCGCAGTGAGCCACAATCATTACAAGGTCTAAGGAGCTCACATAACTGAGAACCTTCAGACAACAGATTGAGACCATTGCAACTGCAACAGATTGAGACCATTATGCAATTAATGTCTAAGTTTATAAGAGTAACTCGGCCTTTGTAGAAGTTATCCTAGACCTACCGTTCGTAAGACAACCAGTCTTTCTAGACTCTCAAGCAACAAAAACCAGGGCTGAAGGAGATGCAGGACGCCTGGACGACTCCCAAGGCCGAAGACGTTCAGAGGTTTACCGACCGCAATGAAACAAAGAACTTCTTTGCTGTGATCAAGGCGATCTACGGCTCCACAATCAAAGGAACCGTGCCGCTTCTCAGCTTCGATGGAACAACACTTCTGGCGGAGAAATCGCAGATCCTGAAGCGCTAGGCCGAGCACTTCAGAAACATTCTCGACCGCCCATCCACAATCTCCGAAGCCGCGATCGACCGAAAACCCCAAGTGGAGACGAACGACAAACTGGATCTTCCGCCTTCTCTCCCAGAAACAACCTGGTCGTGCACCAACTCCCCAGCGGGAAAGCACCAGGGTTGACGCAGTGCCGGCCGAAATCCACAGGCAGGGCGGCCCCGGGCGATGGATCGACTTATGTCATTACAGAAGACTTGACGCCGAGAATAAGTTATTCGGAATTCAAGCATTTGACAATCGTCCATCTTGACAAGCGGGGAGGGAACTAGCAACTCTGTAATAACTAAAAAGGGATCGCGCTGCTAAACAGCGCCGATACGATCTTCGCTCGCATCCTCAACCGCCTCAACGGCCAGCCCTAACAGGGACCTCTGCCGGAGGGTCATTGTGCGTTCGATGCCTCCGCTGAACCACCGACATTATCTTCACTACCAACCAGCTGCAAGCCAAATGTCAGGAAACTTGAACCCACCTCCAAACTACTTTTGTGGACTTGGCGAAAGTCTCCAACACGACGAGACGCGATGGACTTTGGAAAATCCTGCGGTGACCATGCATCAACCGCCTCCCAGTGCTGCATACGGTGCTCGGCGCATCCACGTCCACGGCTCCCAACTGAAGACCGTGGATAACTTGGCTTCTTAGACGGTATACTCTGAAACTGCATCCAAATCGACGACGAAGCGACCCACCGCATTTCTAAAACCATTCAAGTCTTCGGTCGGCTACAGAAATCGCATGGAATAGCCACGGTCTCCAACTTAACGCTAAACTTAAGATGTACATATCTGTCATCTTAACAACGTTGCTGTATGGTGCGTAGACCTGGGCAGTCTACGAGAAGTAAGCGCGGAAACTCAACAACTTCCGCCTTGGTTGCCTCTTACGGATACCGAGGCTGAGCTGGAAGGACAGGATTCGAGACACGGGTCTTGGAACGCATTCGAATCGTCAGCATATACGCCATGTTTAGGCAACTGAAAGTCCGACGGAGCGGCCACCTCGTAAGGATGGACGACCAGCTCCTACTAAAACGACTCACTTACGGAGAGGTCGTCCGCAGCTACGACACCTTGAAGTGGCTACAAATGAACGCGACGACAAGGGAGTACGTCGCACAGAATCGACGGGCCTGAAGAGCAGAGACGACTGGAGCAGCCATACATGGAGCTAACTGGATAGTAGCTGAAAAAGCTAAGAGACGTTCGCCCGTCTCAGGCGCCTCTGACTCGCAATGCCAACTCCCAACCCCTCCCAACATTCCCGCGATGACAACGAACATTCCACGCCCGGACCGGCCTCGTCAGACATCTCCAGACTCAATGCACCAACAGTCTGACAACCCCAACTGCTGCCTCTCCAAACGCCCCTGCTGCCGCCACCACCACGGCGTCCACGACGATGGCAACCCTCACCACCGGCAAACACAATGCCCCGCTGCCTACCACCATCCCTGCCACAACTTCCGTAGCAATAACGATCATCTCTCCCAACCCCACCACGGGTCACAACACGACACCTCGCCGGCCGTCTCCCCCTCCCCCCTCCTCCAGCCATGTAGACTCGGTTCTAAACTGTCCTCATTGCAATCGCACATTCACCTCATGCATCGGTCCTGTCGGTCACTCGCGAATACATCGCATTGCGACCGACGCACCGGTTTCCAGAGCCATCACATACACTCTCCTCATCCGCCTTCACTGGCCCGCATATTCATACACCGCGCGGGTCTATTCGTTCACATGCGTATCCACAACGGTAACAATCACTGTAAAAACACAACTAACACATCTTGCACATCCATCAACCCTGCAATCCCGAGCCCAATCAGCTCCCCATAGAACAGCACGCCCAGCACTTGCAGCGTCACAACGACAACTGATCCGATATCCCCCAACCTACCCTGCTCACACTATCACTGTACGTTCGCCCCACGCATCGGCTTAATCAGTCACTGGCGAATCCATCGCACAGAGATTAACAAACCAGTTCCTGAAGCGCCAACATACGCCAGACGCCATCGCGTTAACTGTCCGCATTACCCTCGCACATTCAGCCATCGTATGGGCTTATTCAGTCACATGCATCTTCATGAAAACCTACGGCAAAGCACCGCAGAAAAGACCACACCACATATTCCCTCATCAACACGTACCACGCACACACCTCTACAACATTGACACCTCCCATGTAAGTGGGGCGTTTGTTTTTTGGCTCCTTTCCTCATGTGGCTCCTCTGCTGCATGTGAAATCCGAGCGTCCTACTCCCCCTTGTGTGTATAAAATCCTAGTGTATGCGCATGGGGGCCAGGCTACATATGGCACGGGCAGATGGACTATTTTCAGTCCTATCAACCACGTCTCCTAATCTTGGCACCAGTTGTCTGACCGGCCCGTGCAGTCGACTCATGCACGAGATAGGGTAGAGCGAGTGAGGTCGACTCAGTGCAAACAACCTGGCGTGCTGGAGACTAACACGGTACGCCGAAAGCCGTGGCATGGAAGGTTGTCAACTGACACTCCAACTCGAACCACACAGTCAGGCCAGTTGTGCATTTGTGATTTGTGTGGTTGACTGAGAGTCAGACTGCAAAGACTCCTTAGTGGCACTCTTCAAACGTGTGGGATCCGAGCTGCGTTTGGGGGGGGGGGGCAGGTCGTGCATGCGGGGCGCGCAGACGGTCTTTCTAACTTTGTCAGTCACTGTACCCACTTCCGGAACCGGAAATCTGACCGGCTTGGACAGTGGAATGGTACCTGGGAGTGGAGAGAGGGAAGTGTGCCCACGAAAAAAAAACGGGCTACTGAGAGTTTCTAAGTGGAATCCAACAAATTGACCAAAATCGTTCTAATTGCCACCGTATTTGATGATGCCCATGGTCCATGGCGTGAGATCATCGGAAATGCTGTACATTTGACAGAATGGACTCATATCCTGCCATCCTGAGATAAGAGACGGACGTCCAGATGTCCGTCATTCTTGGTGAAGAGCAGAGATGAAACAAACGATCTATGACATAGAACGGGTCTAACGTCTAGACTTGGACCTAGGAATCTACAGAGACTGTAGTTGCACAATGCGCATGTGCTCGTTTTAGTGAGCGTAAATTCTGAACAGCAACACAAGTCAATGTCTCTACTCGCATTTGAAATCGCAAACTAATTAAAACGTGCTATATGAACTCCGTTCGAGTCTACACCATGTGCAATGTTTTCTGAACTTGTACGATGCGAAGCACGATATTTGGTCAGCACCTAACCAGATTTCCAATATATAAAACTTTTCTGACGTGTGTCGTGGTACTGTGCTGCATGGTTGATTGACGGCAAAATCCACACGCCGAGGATGTAATTCGTATAAAGAACGCGGAGACAGAGTGGGAAAATGACGATTAATAGCTTTCTAGTGCAATAAAAGAAATGGATGAATTACAGACTTTTCGAAGAACCACACCCAAAAATAGTGATTCACGGGAAGAAGAGAACGTAGGTAGGCAGAACAGAAAGGGATGAAAGGCTGACGTATCCATTTAGTTATGGTTGCACTGCGCACAGTTGAGCTGTCAGATCAGCTAGACATCGTGTAAAACACTTAGACGACCAGCGTCATTCAGCGTGCTTGATCAGAAAAAGGCCCGCAGCAACAGCGCAGTCTGGCAACAGTTGGCAACCAGGTCGGTGAAACTAACCTCATCCGCCACCGGAGCGACCTCTTGATGAACGATAACAAACCTTGTCGGTGTCATCTCCCATCAATGGATTGTATCCTGAAGACGTGATACGCAAAGAAAACCATGAGGTTTCACAGGCAGCAGTGTCCACTCCCAGCAATTAAACTACCGGTCTCGGACGTTTGTTATAAATGACTCGTGTACAAACCACAAAACGACAAACTGTCTAACCAAAAGAAACCTCCAGGGCCAGAGAAAGTACTAAATGGATATAGGAACCATATAACGAGGTGCAATCAGGGAGCGTTTTGTGAACCAATAGCAGTAAATACCGCATTGTTAAAATGAGAGATCGTGAATGTGAGTTAGTACCGTTCAAATAAACAAAGAATAAGATTAGGCGCTGGACTTCTAACCAACAGATCGCGGGTTCGAGCCTCGAGATCGCACACCTTAGGGTTGGGTATGGCTGACCAACGACGGCCAGTAAGCCAGAAATTGTCATGTTATTCTCCCTTGTCTTTGTTGACAATCAGTAAGATGTCCTCTTCAAAGCAAATTTATCATCATAGGCACACGTGTTAGATGGGTGCCTGGTAGACAAGAAGCAAAACGCTGAGCTGTTCGGTGAACTTAACGGAAATTAAGGTAGAAAAAATCGGCTGTTCCTTATTACCAGTCACTGTACATAATGGTGTGATTTCAACAGCCTTCAAGGGGTTTAAAAAATAAAATATAGAACACCTGCGATGACGAGATTCCACCTCCCTTGTGGGATGGAAAATCGAATAACGTGAATAAGACGTGGATAAGACATTGTTTGAGAATAAAAATATACCTTAATTTTGCGGATAATAGAGGAAATGTGCTTCCCCGGCCATATAACGATCGTGTCAAAGACGTTCACGGAAAAGTTTGATCGCGGTCCGACGTTTGCAGTGGAAAATTCAACTACAAAGCTCTGAGACCAGAGTGCTCGGTTCACAGGTTACGCTATACAGCGGGTTGGATAAGCGTCCCATTGTACCTGTCCTCCGGTTTTGCCAGTAGCGACAGTGGATCCGCCATGCATCCCTATTGAGTCGTTAATGGTCTTATTCCACCCCTTGTTGTCGACGAAGGTAATTCGCAAACTGGACAGCCACACGTTTAGCGTGTATTTCCCCAGATAATGGTGTTAAATCACACACTGCGGCTACATTGACGCGGCAGTCAACTGTGTTGCCGGCTGACAGTTACGCAGATGCCTTGCCATTTGATCGTCTCTTCGGTCCGCCAAGTCGACTTCGTCAGAGTTAAAACTAGACGGTAGGCGTCCCTAAGTGCGGTCTGGTAGTCCGTACCCCATACATCCACACCTCAGGGACTATAGAGAGAATTCTGCACAGAACGCCCCAGTCTCTGAAGCTTTATGATCAAACCCACTCCTTGAAACGCAAGACCATAAACACACCTATCCTCTTTGCGGCACCTTATTCTATTAAAAGGCATTAATCTCAGAATGTAAAATTAAAGGGGATCAAAGTCACCATTCGATAAGCAGAAACTGCCTACTCGCATAAGCCTAAGCTGTTTATGACGACCGCCCACAAAAGGTAGCTAATTTTTTGTCAAAAATTACTACTTTTGTACTCCGGAAACTGCATGCAGTCACCATGTGCATTGACGTTAGAAAACTGAGTTGTCCTGCAAACAAAGGCGAACAAAAAGGTACTGCAGACAACTAAACTCTGCATCTTCAAAAATCACTCTAAAGATCTAACACCGAGAAGGCTGCCAACTTAAATCACGCATCTCAGTCTGTAAAGCACTGTGCTTCCACTCACCACTCTGTTTAAGAAGATCAGCTGTCGCTTTTGGCTTGGGTCGCGATCCTTCTGAGATCTGCAAGGAAAAGTAACGCTTCGTGAGTCTCTGGGTATTAAAAGTAGTCGTCGTATTGTAGTCAGGCGGTGAAAATGACCGAGGCTCTAAATACGTCTCAGTCCTTACAAAATAATACAAATACCTTAATATCTACTCCTACGTGTACGGGAGCACAAAGCCGCAGACGGCAAAAAAGGAATCTTGCAAACCGAGAGCGCGTGCATGTAGTGTTAAGTAGTATAGCGTCAGACGGTGACAAAGCACTGCTCAGTGCAGCAGTCGTCCGTGTATTGAGGACCCCCAACCAACCACTGCGAGTGTCATTCACGGATAAATCAACCGCTAAGGCCCAACTGCTAAGCATAAAGAAGTTCATATAGTAATGTAATGAAAAGGGGAAAATCGATCGTCAACTTGTGCAGAAATAGCTCATACGTGACACTTTTAGATAGTACAATAAGTTCAGTGAAGTCGTCCCACATAGATCCAAGCTTCAACAGAAAATAAAACTCGCAATTTATCTGAATACCACTGACTTACGAGATTTGGAGCCAGCTAATCGCTCAATACCTACTTATGTCCTTAAAATTGTAGTTACAGCAGGAAACCAAAACTACAAAGGGGAGAGCTGCACTGGACCGATCGCTTGGGGCAATCAACTTGTGAACAGTCGTCCGTTCTTTCTCGGAAACTCTGGTCCAGACCTCGGGCTGTGTACATCGCCCTGAGATAGCCTCAGGTAGTAATTACTACCTGAGTGGATTTTGCTGTCGACGGAGGGATAACCGTTTTCGCCAGGTTGGCAATGGAGCATGTAAGGGACGCTTTCTTATTTAAAAACTAAATATACTCATAAAAGACTGAGGTCTCTTACACACTCGTTTCCTGTATGGAAATTAAAGTTGGCAGACTTGGAGTAGTGTGGATTTAGATGGGTATCGCAGAAAAAGCCCAATAAGTGTGACTTGTACGCTCACCTAATCATTCGGAAACCGCTGAAAAAATTCCAGGACTCAATCAGCATGTCGTAAACCAACGAATGAGACAGGATTATCCCAATTACCTACCCGATACAGGAACATCGAGACCAAGCGACTCTAGGGGATACGTTGTGTGGTCAACATTTACGCAGTAGACACGAAATTAACTGAATTCCTTGTCTGAGCACTTGTTTGAGTTCTGAGTGCTGGGTGATCACACGGATATTAGTCCCGTTTATATAAAGATGAGCCAATAGGAGTTAACTTGTCCAACCAAACTTATTTACTGGCTAATTCTATCAATATTGCCAGTCGAAAACAAAGTGCATACTTTCTACAAGCAGACTTGACAACCTCTCGCAGAAATCCTCCACAGGAACGCAAGTCTGTCCTGGAAGAGGTGTTGTATTATTTCAACGGAGAAGGCATATCTTCGACTGTAAGTTATACGACATGACGCTGTTCCGATTCCTAGGAGATAAACGACAGCCAATATGATATGGAGGACGTCAATGACACCCTTCTCTCAAGGGAGTCGATGCGGGTCAAGGGTAGTAAACTTTCTTTTGACTGACTTATCCCACAATCTTGCACGAAACGCTGCCCAGTGGCCGGCTTGTAAATTTGGACAAGGCCGTCGCCCTGCTAATCCACCACATGGCCAGAATGTCTAAAAAGCTAGACGTTATCCTTGACAGTAACCACCAGTTACACGGTTGTATACGTGAACTGGAAGCCAAGGTTAATCAAAGGCCACCTGCGCCTGCGGCTACACCGCTGCCGCAAAACCAGTTCAAAAAGCCTATGCGGACGGCAGCGGAATTCCGCCAGCTAAACGCATTGTTAATGGGCACGGGAATTAGAAGTCAACTTGTACGCTTTCCGTTATATCACTGTACAAAGCATAAGGTGTCTTTCCTCACCTGTCTAGGCGGCAACAACCTGGACGACTTTGTTAAGCGCATATTCTTTGCGCTGTTAGAGGATGAAATTCCGCTTCATGTTAACTTCAAGGGGCGTAAACTAAAGGAAAGTCTCGGTAATTCCGCAACTTATAAGTCATATTGGTAAGTATGCAATTATGCGTCCCACTATCTACATTTGTAGACGTTTTCGCTGCTTGGAACATAAATGGCGCTGCCAAGATTTCGGACCTGGGGTCTGCGTTCACAAAGCGACTATAAAGTTCCTTGGATAATTACGTCAAACGTCAGCAGAAGGACGGTGGCAACAAAAACTGGACAGGCTAACAGGTTTTAATTTTATAATATTAACCCTACCCTATAGACAACAATCCCGGATGTTCAGCAAGTGATGGGCCTTTATCCTTACAAACGCCATCAATGTATTAAACTATTTTAAAATTATTTGATCCAATAAAATTTTCTTCCAACTGCCGTGTCTTCAAAATAGCTATGTTAGGTCAATCAAGTTATTATCGTTGAGACAGTAACGTGAACTTGGCCGTCAAACGCGTTATAACGCGAACAGCAGAAGGCTAAGTAAGACGGGATTGGGATGACTAAGGCAAACAGACAATAATAAGATTAGGTAAACGCAGCGTGCGCAGTGCCTAACTTGTCGTTTTCACCGATTTCGAGTATCTCGAAAGTAGATATCTAGTCGATAGCTGGACAGCAGACATCGACATCTGGTAAATAAAAATACCTCGGAAATTAGATATCTACTAGATATCGTGTCGAAATAGTTTGCTACTAGGATATAACACAATGAAATCAGTAGAAACCTTAGCTGATTCCCCGTCAGTGACGTTGGAGCTACTTGGCGCATTTTCCGCAGAAGTCTGCCGCTGGTTCGTTTGGTTAAATCTTTCTTGTAGGCGACGTCGAGCTTCCTGCATGGCTTCATCGTGAGTTCGATTTGTACCTAGAAAGTAAAGATCTGAATGATAATATCTCACCCCGGGTGGCGCGTTTGGCAGCGGCGGCGGCTAACCAGTTCATGAGCAATAACAGAAAGTATAGGAAAACGAGTATGAGAGCGACAACCAGGGCGGAAGTAAAAGTCCCATTTGTGCCTTCAATGTCAAAATAAACAGAAGGTGTTCGATAATGGAAAGGTTACTCGTGGTATCTACCAAAGCGTCCTCCTCGTCAACTTCTACGATCCCATCCTGCATCGCGTTGGCTGTGCGAGTGATTAAAAAACGCGATATGCGGACTGGTTTCAGAGTGCTGAATACCAATTGGTCGAACATTTTCATGCGAGTCGCGACGGCTTCTGGGAATATTATTGAGTTTACGTTATTGGAAATCATGTTTTGGTGATACTTCCAATCAGCGAGAGGCCTGGAGGATGTCATTAAGGAAGGCGGTCATTTGATAAAGTTGGTCAAATAAGAAGTTACTATATAGTTACTCGTTTTGACAGGTTCCCGCAGCTTACCCATAATTTTGTTAGTTGTTAAGTATAGTTAACTAGCTGGTCGGTTAGTTGGTGTTGTTAATTACTTAGTTAGTAAAATTAGTTGATTAGCTAGTTAGTTAGCTAGTTAGCATAATTTGTTAGTTAGTTTGTCATTTAGTTATTTAGTCAGTTAGCTATTTAGTTAGTAAGTCGGTAAGTTAGTCACTTAGTTCATAAATTAGTAAGTTAGTTAGTTAGTTTGTTAGTTAGTTAGTTAGTTCGTTAGGTAGTTTGTTAGTTAGTAGGATAGTAATTTGGTTAGCATAATTAGTCTGTATTGTTAGTTCGGTTAGTATATAGTCACCCGGGTGACTATATACAAATGGCTATTTCGAAAGTTTCACGCAGTTTGCCCAAAAGTTACATTTTTCACTGCTTTCGACTCCCAAGGGTCCACTCAGAAACGCCATCCGGTTAGATATGGCGATGTGGATGTGCCAAAAATATAACTGGTGAATTGTACTTGACGAATTCCACATCGTGCGAATAAAAGTCATGCGCGGCGGACCTCGGTGGAGGATTGCTAAAGAAACGTGTTGCCTTGGGTGTCGCCACTCTCAGCAGAAACGAATTGTCACTCTGTGTCGTACAGACACGAAGTATTGTCAGTTTTGTTTTAATGGCCTGTTGCGCCAAATGTGGGTGCAGAGGTGCCTGGCGTGGGAAAGTTTTCACTTTTCTTTTCCCCAGTCGAATAACGTAAAGAAACAGTTCCGTCTTCCCCGGTGGAAGCTCCCAACTCAGCTCTCCCCAGGCAATTGTGAAGATAAGGCTTTTTTGAACCGGTCGAAATTCCCTTATTTCACGTGTTGACGTTTCACCCGGTTCTCATAGTAAGCAATATTTGATTATGGATGTCTCGAAAATCTAGATAAGTCATGCCAAAAATGAGAAAGCTATGCTGCATCAGGACGTTGCACCTTAGACACCCTTCGGAGATACAGACGAGACAACGACAGCCGAACCCTTGACGATGTCGGTCGTTACAACTTAGGGCAAAAGACTGCTTAAGAAAGACAGAGTTTGGCTAGTTGACCTACTCGCGCGCAGTCACTAAATCTATACTGAACTGTAGCCTACGAGTCTTTAGCCCCTGCTGCAGCCGACAACTTTAAGGATGGTTCCCACCGAGGTCGCGAAGGATTAGGAATGGAACCCGGCTAAGACCGACCTGAGAAGAGGTGTTAACGCATCACAAATCTCACCCATACGAGAGGGAAGGATAAATGGGCAGATAAAAAGGCATAATGGAGATGGTAACTAGGACCATGTGATAACTTTTAATTGTACAAGCGGACGGAGTTACAACAGAGGAGTGGCATGCCCGGATGGTGAGGTGACTCTGACATGCCTGCTAAAAAAACGGTGGGGGACTCAGTTCTGTTTGCAATTTGGGGGGACAGATGGGTGAAGTGCTGACCTAGAGGGAGTAATGACAGTGTTACGATAAGTTGTGGGAAGGGCTTGTTGACGAAACGGTGGGAGGAACACCGGCAGTTTTCATTACCACGTAGTAACATCACCACCACCCCTGGTCTGCCCGAGAAGTGTCGCACCACTCAAACAACTACGCAGTTCGTGGGAGGTGGCATGCTTATAGGACCGCGCGCAAAATCTTCCTCGCTATTCATATGGTGGGTATTTATACGGGGATGACTGCTTTTCAAGAATGGCCAGGCGTGACTGCTTATAGTGGTGAGTTGTGTCTTGCGATTGGTGCTTAGTTTGTCATAATTTGGTCTTCTTAAACAAATATTAAGTGCAGTAATGTATAATAAACATAAATAAACCGAAATTTTGATGACTGAATTCTGATCGATTTTATTCCCCAATCCTCTCCCAATCAATCTAAACGATTAAGTCCAATCTTCTGACTTTCTCGACTGGCAAGGCCTTACAAATACAGACGATAACAGACGGTGGACCGAATCTGGACTTACCTTCTCCGACATCCGTCCTTCTTTGTCTTCGTGTTGTCAAAACGACGTTCTCGTGCCACAGTCCTTACACAGCAAGACCTGTGTGTATGTTAGCCTTGGCAAACTCGTTTTTTTATTTATTCACTTTACCTTTACCTTTTTGGGCCTGCCGTTCTGCCAGACCGGTTCCTAACAAGTTGATGGCAGTGGTGTTGCACGAGGGCTTACGGACAGCCTGATTGGGAAACTTGTCAAGGAGCTGCAGAAGCTGGGACTACCGCTCTCTGTCCGTTTCATTCCCGAAAACTCAACTTCATGACTTTGAGCAGGGTCCCTGGGATTTAAGGGTAGACAAAGTGGATACCCTCACTTCTATTTTTACAAACCCTTGTTTTGAATTGACTACTAAATCCGCTGTTATTACTCCTCTCACTCAGCGATGTTTTTCGAGGTTCTTGATGTCATTTCATTTCGATCCCAAGTGGTCTATCGAAACCAACTGTGGAATCCTCTGTATTCGCCATCTACTAGTAGTTTGGTCGGTCCCACGGTCGTATCTCCCTTGCTCCCTCCTTGGTTGGACTCGAATCGGACTGCCGCCGATCGTTTCTGGGTTCCTCATCCAGTCTGTGAACTCTGTCTTGATGATATCCTTATCGAATCCCTTATAAAATACCGCACGCAGGCTAGTCCTGTCTGATCCACATACTTATCATTTCATTAGTACAATTTTTGTCACTCTGATGATGTCAGTTTAGAGTCTGTCATACACAATCACACGCAGACCGGTTCTGCCCACATCGTTATCCTTTCATTGGCGACAGTTTTTTTCTCCTTTAAGGTCAACCCAATCACATTCATTTCGTTTATTAGAAAAAGGAGTTTTTCATCTTTCGCTAATCATTTTTTGACCAAAATGCTTACTTAGAGAGCATGAACTGAATACTCTGGAGGTTCTGCATGGCCGTTCTAAAATTCATATGAAAATTTACTTTTACTATGATGGAACCCCAAGGGTCTTTGAGAAGAATTATTTACCCATTTGTTTATCCGTAACATCGTTGCTATAAATTAAAAACAGTAATGCTCCAAACACAGGGCCCTAGGTGATTCCATTCATAAATGACACTGGCGTTGATTTCGCACTGCCAATGCACACAGACTGTGATCGGCTGGTCAAGAAGTCATCTGCCCAGTTTGGTACGCTCTTCTTTATCCCAGACTCTCGGAATTTGTAGAGTAACCGGCAGTGTGAAACGCTATCAAAGGCTTTTTGAAGTCTATCTAAACAAAATGGAATCTTGTTCCTTCGATCAACGAGTGGGACCACTGCTCCAGTGAATAGAGTAAATTTGTTAATCAGGACTGATTTCGCCGAAAAAAATGCTGGGATATATCAAACAAATTATTATCTTCAAGGAACTTCACCACTGATTTTTTGACCAGTCTATACATAAATTTTCAACAAATGCACGTTAGGCTCAGCGGCCGAGAAATGTTTGCAATTGTTTTGGATCCCTCCTTATTATTGAATGGAAAGGCGCGCAGCTCAATTTCGACGGTAAGCAAAGCTTTGAATATCCTTTTATATTCTTGAACAAATAATTCCTATGTTTTAATAGAGTCCTTTTTAAAAGTCGCCATTAAGTACTGACTATAATTTTTTTCCAATTTAATTAGACATTCTTGCAAACAGTCGTATTTTGTGAAGTGCCTTTTTAACGACTATGTGTTAGGTCATCAGTTTTGATTTTACGTAGTAAAATAACTCTATTACTGGCTATTCTGTGCGTGTTTCTGCACGTTAGCAAAGTTTTGATCCTTCTACTGCAACGGAAAACGTATCTAGTACCCTGTAATGCCCCGAAGAGCGCGTGCTAAAAAACCAAACCTTGCTGCTTCCCCACCGTCTCTGGGTGCTAGAATCGTGACCGGAGACACAGCAGGTGCCAGCATATGTTCGTCGCCTTCTACAGATATGGTTTACTCAAAAATTCCTTTTGTCCAAGTAAAACCTCTTAACCTCTTAATCCTCCAACACTACGCCTCTGTTAGTCGTAACAGAACATCAGCCGACGAAATACTCAATCAGTTGATATATGGCGACATAAGCAGAACTTCTGAAATAGTCATTGAACAGGCGTTTAAAGTTATTGGAGTAATAAGTTCTGAAACCGAGGGGAAAATAGAACGCAGGCATAATTTTATACTGCGAAACATTCCGAGACACTTCAGTCAGTCAGTCAGTCACTGTATTTGAGGGAAATAGGCTTACGCCTTTGAACTCCCTATTTGTACATAAAAAAATCGATAAACAAGCAAAAATGTGAAGAAACTACAGCCTTAAGTGAATGCATACATTGATTCACATATGTCACTAGTCACATGGCTAAAAAGTCACATAGTCCGCTTGTTGCTGCAGCATATATCTGTCAAGGCGACATTTAAATGTCTCCACAGATTGAGACATAAAAACCGTCTCGGGCAGGTTATTCCACGGTTCCACGACACGGTTGGAGAAGAAATATTTTC